GGAAGTTAGGCAAACACCATAAACAATGGGGAAGTTAGGTGACAGCTCATGCCTTAATGGGAAGGTTATAGGTTATCTCGAGCAAGCATTCTTGGGGCATTGTACAGTTAAACATCGAGCAAGGCACCAGATGCATCAGGAATGTGGTGAACTAGTTCCTGGATCAGGGAGTGTTATCTTTTAAGTTTATCTTGAGATCACCGGTTTCTCAGGAGAGGGCAGAAGAACAAGTTTACTCTATGCTGGGCTAGTTTCTAGGGGTCTCAAATGTTGAGTTGGGGTCTCTCAACATAACAAAGCTTGCCTGAAGATCAGTGATGATATATTATTGGTTTATTAAAGCTTGCTTGAGGGTACAGAAAGCAAAGCCAGACACAAGAGGTCAGGCAGTGGTGATATACACCTTTAATCCTAGCAGCCATACCAGTTAGTTATAGAAGTTGAGCAGTGGTGGCATACACTTTTAATTCTAGGAGTCAGGATTAAGAGGTACATGGAGCTCTGTTAGTTCAAGGCCACACTGACTGCATGAAATTGATCCAGTCCTAAAAGAAACAACTCATACAAAGGTGATCTCAGCACCTGGGATCACATGCTTTTAATCCCAGCGCTAGGGAGGTGGAGACAGGAGTGGTATGGCTGGGCAGAGGAAGGAATAAAAGGCAGGAGAAGACAGAATAAAAGGCAGGAGACTCTTCTGCCTCTGAGGATTTGTGGAGACAGGATTGCCATTTCGGCCAGGGAGAGGTAAGATCTACTGTCTTGGCTGCTTTTGTTTCTCTGATCTTCTATTTGAAGCTTGAACCCCAATATCAGTCTTTTATTATTCATTTACAAAGATCAGACTGTACAGCTAGCCACAGTTATAGAGGCCAGGAAGTGGTGTAACACACATCCCAGCACTCAGGAGTCAGGGGCAGATGGATCTCTGTTAGTTCAAGGTCACCCAGAGCTTCACAAAATTGATCCAGACTAAAAGAGAATCAGCTCAAATAAAAGTGACATCAGCACTTTGGATCCCACGCCTTTAATCCCAGAGCTAGAGAGGAACATAAAGTGGGAGGAGCCAGGAGTCTGAGGAGAAATGAATCAGGGGCAGTCTGAGGTTTGGTAATTGCCCTTTCAGTCCGAGCATTGGTAGAGGTGGGATCTCTCTAGTGGCAGGCTTCTTTTCTTCTCTGATCTTGAGCTTTAACCCCAATGTCTGAATCTGGGTTTTTATTATTAATAGCAATTAGAATTCGTGCTACACTTTTGTGTGTTCCTATTCTTGCTTTTTAAATACTATTTTCTTATACCTCCTGAGTCATCTACACCCCAATTTTTCTACTAAATCTGTGGTCCTGTTTAGCAGAAGTAACAGTGAGGTAAATAACAGCAAGATACAAGCGTTAATAATACTGCAATTGAGTGTCTTCAGAGGGTGTACAGGGTTCCTATTTGTATTTTCTATCACTCCAGTATCATATCAAATTGAGATGCAAGTTTAATTGTCTCCCATATTAGCTATACAGGAAGTCATTTGGATGGTGTCAGTTTCTGGAGATCCAGTTTTCTGCCTTTCCCCCTCATTAGGTGATGGAAACAGGACATGTGAGTGCCTGCTGGACTGAGCAGGCAGCTGGCATCTGTTTATCCAGGAGGATGAGTGAACATCCAGCCTGTGCCCAGTTTCCCTTTCTTAGGCTTTAGCTCTCTTTACACCTGTGGAAGGAGACTGCCCTGTGAGAAGGACAAATCTTAGAAGGCTGGGTTAAACTTTTCATTTTTGTGGCTGTCATTTTCTAGGGGAGAAAGCATAATTCTATCTTATTACCACAGAAAGACTATAATACTTATACATTCTGATGAAAAATAATGTAATTGAACCATTGGGATGGTAGAAAAGTGAATTTGTATATTACCCATTAAAGAGATACTGGGTGAGGCCTGGGGGGCGAGCACAGCAGTCTAGTACATGCTTAGCATGTGTGTTTGATGCCCATCACTGCAGACAGCAGCAACCACAAAATGGGGGGAAGAGGAATAGAAAAGAACTAATGGTGATTCACATGTAATATGCAAAGATGTGTCAGAGGCTTACTGTTATGGGATATGTAAATTTGGGTATGAAATATGCATATATTACTGTGTAATATAAGCCTGTAGTAAATTGCTGTAATGGTTGATAAGTGATAGGAAAGTTTTTCTTGAAATTCAGGCAGGGCATAAAATTGCTAAAAACTACTGGTGTAGGAGAAGACAAAGGCAGGAAACTATGATCCATATTTTCAGAACCATAAACTTGATTCTTCTATGTGGAGACCCAGTAAGGTTGAATGAGAAGTAACTTTTGTACATCTTATTAGGGTAGACTGTAAGTGGTAAGTAGAGGAGTCCCTTTATATTTAAGTGAGTAGAAGAAAGGTAAGGTTTCAGCTGGCTTGGAAAGATAAAACTTTTGAACCTTAAGATTTTATATTCTGTCCTGGAAACTAGTACAGAAATATTGGCAAAAGACAATTAGGGTAGGATGTGGCCAGTATGACCCCAAAGAAAACCCAGGTAGAGTGGAAGATCTGGCAAATGCATAGCTGGGTGATACAGAGTTGGGAAGTGTCCAGGATGAGAGAATAGTGATGTTACCAACACAAGTGGAAGAGAGCTTTAAAGGCAGTTGGTAATGAGTGACAGACACATTGAGGTGGTGTACAAAGTAATATTCCATGTAAACAGAAATGTGGATTGAGAGAATTTTAAGAGAAAAAATATTCAGTGTTTGCAAGTGATAGCTGAAGGAAGAGAGAAATTTTGTTTAAAGGGGCCAGTGAGATGGCTCAGTGGGTAAAAGCACTTGCCCCCAAGTTTGATAAGCTTGATCCCTGGGACCTACATGGTGGAAAGAGAGAACTGACTACCACAGTATTCCTCTCACTTCCATATGTGTGCCATAGCAGTGTACCCTCCCAAAAGCACAAATAATTTCCCTGCCTGCCTCATCTTCATCCCCCTTGTGCGTGCGTGCGTGCGTGAGTGAGTGCGTGCGTGCGTGCGTGTGTGTGTGTGTGTGTGTGTGTGTGTTGAGACAGGGCCTCCATGTAGCCCTGCCTGACTGTCCTGAAAATAGCTACGTAGACCAGTCTGGCCTTGATTTCACAGAGATCTGCCTGCTTCTGCCTCCCAAATTCTGGGACTAAAGGCATATATGCCAGGCCTAGCTATTTTTTTAATTTTAAAAATAAATTTTTTGTTCGTATTTTTTGTGTGTATGCATGTGCTGTATGTATATTTGTATGCATGTAGTGCACACATGTGTATGTCTATGTACTTTGCATAGTGTGTTGTGTGTATGTCTTGGGTATTTTGTGTTTTGTGTATGTGTATTGGTTGGTGTATATGTGGTATATGAATATGTATAAGTGTGTGCTTTTCATATGTGTGTTGTGTGTATGTCTGGTATGTTAATGTGTGTGGAATTTGTGTATGTGTGGTGTACATATGTGTGTATTATATGTATGTGTGTAATGTATTAATGTGAGTTTGGGGGTACCTGCACTTGTGTGTGTGCATATGGATGCTGGTGGTAGATGCTGGGTATCTCTTGATTTCTACCTTACTGACTTGAGACAGGGTCTTCTCACTGAGAAATAACCTCACCTTTTTGGCTAGGCTTTGGCCAGTGAGCCAAGGATTGGAAGAATATTATAAAAGTGTTGTCACTGTCCAAAACAATCTCCAGATTCAGTGCATAGAATACCAATGGCGTCCTTCATAGAACTAGAATTCTCTTAAATTTTATAGGTAATGCAAAACAAAACAAAAAAGCCAGTTTGTTGTTTTTTTGGTTTACTCTTTGGGGCTTTTGTTCTTTTTGAGGGGCTCGCCACCCGGCTCCCAAGTAACTCACACATGGAGACTTATTATTACTTATGAATTCCCAGCCTTAGCTTGACTTGTTTCTTACCAGCTTTCCCTAACTTTAACCCATCTACCTTTTGTCCCTGGGCTTTTACCTTCCTCTTCTGTAAATCGTACTTGCACTCTTACTCTGTGGCTGGCTGGCTGGCTGGCCCTTGATGTCCTCCTCTCCTTGTTCTCGTCTCCTAAGTTCTCCTATTTATCCTCTCTGCCTGCCAGCCCTGCCTATCCCTGCTCCTGCCTTGCTATTGGCCGTTTAGCTCTTTATTAAGCCATCAGGTGTTTTAGACAAGCAAAGAATCACAGCTTCTCAGAGTTAATCAAGTGCACCAGAAACAGAAGTCACACCCCTGAAAATAATACTCTATCACACCAGTCAGTGTAATGTAGACTGGGTGTTTTCAGCACCTATTGTATTTACTGTTTTGAAGTACAGTTCTTCTATACATAAGTTTTGTAGGCTTTTTTTTTTTTTAAGTCATGAAGGGTGTGTTAGTTAGGGTTTTTATTGCTGTGAAGAGTAGCAACTGTTTTTTTTTTTTTCTTTTTCTTTGTTTCTCTATGTAGCCCTGGCTGCAGTAGAACTCATGCTGTTGACCAGACCAGGCTGGCCTCAAACTCAAGAGATTCACCTGCTTCTTTCTACCATGTGCTGGGATTAATGGTGTGTACCATCACATCCTGCCTACCACAACATTTATTTTTATAATCAGCCATTTTGTTTTTCATTATTTGTGCTTTGATCAGACATTTTATGTGTGAGAATGAAAGTAAATCAGGATTCAGGAAAATAGAATAAGTAGACTTTGTACATTTATATCAATGCTGCCTAAGAAATTAAATCGGGAAGATGTGTATATGCTGTCATTGCTCAAAGTAGCCATCAGAACTTAGATTTTAAATCATAGCCTCAGGGTTTTATTTCAAGTTAACATATGTATAGTTAACTTGAAAATATTAGTGAATTCATTGAATCACTTAGTTTTGGATTTGCATAGCAATAGTTTTGATAATATTTTCCAGGTTAGGGTTGGTTCAGTAACAAAAGGGTTCAGATAAGTAAGTTATCTTTAAATTAATGGTCATTGTTTTTTCTTCCCTAGTCATCAGATAAGCAGAGAGCCCTAGAAGAAACCAAAGCCTATACCACCCAATCCTTAGCAAGTGTTGCATATCTGATAAACACCTTGGCCAACAATGTCCTACAGATGCTGGATATCCAGGCATCCCAGTTACGGAGGATGGAATCTTCAATCAACCATATTTCACAAGTGAGACCATGTTACTTTTCTATTTGCCTATGAGCAACTCGTAGCCTGTTGATGGCCTTTGTTATGCAAGTTAATGTGCATGTACTATTTGGAAAATACAAACTTAATATATTGTTTTATTATTCTTTTTGTGAAGTCATTATCTTTGTAGTTTGATAGGAAAGTAAATTTGATGGATTTTATTAAAACTTATTTGCCATGGTAACATAATCACGCATGAAGTGAAAATTTATCTTTTTTTTAAGAAAAAAAATCTTTTGACAAGTTTAGTGTGTCTGCTTTAAAATATTTAATAGCTTGGTGACTAAAAGTTTTCTGTCAGTCTTTTTAAGCCCTCTTTTGGTGGCTGTCTTAGTGTTCTATTGCTGTGAAGAGATACCATGATGATGGCGACTCTCATGATGGAAAGCGTTTGAGTCTGACTTGCATGTCAGAGATTTAGTCCATTGTTACGATGACAGGAAGCATGGTGGCATGCAGACAGACATGGTGCTAGAGAATAGCTGAGAATTCTATATCTAGATTCACAGACAGCAGGCCCAGAAGCCTCAAGGCCTGACTTAAACACGTTTAAAACCTCAGTCCACCCCAGGGACACTTCCTCTAACAAGACCAAACCTACTCCAACGAGTAAGTGTTGACACTCCTTAATGAACAAACATTCAGATATGAGCCTGTAGATGTAGCATGAGAAATAAAAGACCCAGAGACTGATACTGGGGTTCAAGCTTCAAGCTGAAGATGAGAGAAGCAAAGCAGCCGGGTCAGTAGATCTTACTCTGCCTGGCTGAAATGGCAATCCTGTCTTCACAAATTCTCAAAGCAAAAGTTCATGTCTCCTCTTACCTTATATTCCTTTCTATGCCCAGCCATATAAGTCCTGTCTCCATCTCCCTAGTGCTGTAAGTAAAGGCATGTCACCCCAGGTGCTGAGATCTCCTTTGTGTGAGTTGTTTCATTAGGACTGGATCAATTTCCTATAGTCAGTTTGGCCTTGAACTAACAGATTTGTCCACCTCTGAATCCTGAGTCTTGGGATTAAAGGTGTGTGCCACCACTGCTCAGTTTCTATAGCTAGCTGGTATGGCTTTGCTTTCTGTTACCTCAGGCAAGCTTTAATAGATCATGAATAATATATCACCACCACATGTGGGAGCAATTCCTATTCAAACCACAACAGTGGTGTTAGGAATTGAACTTAAAGCTAAGCAACCACTTAGCCCAAATTTTATGTTTAGGAGAATTTACCTACCAGCCATACTGTAAAACAGGAAAGTTTAGAGACTAACATTCCATATAAAAATATCTTTATATGAAACTTTAAGTGTTAACGTTTTCCTTATAAAAGCTGTGTTTATAAAGGAGAACAAGAAAGGGAAGTATTAGGGGATGAGGAAGGATAGAATGCAGATAAAGGACATCTGAGTCATGAAAGAGGATATAAAGGTAATTGGTTTTCTAGTTTCAACTCCTCTGATGGGGTTTTCTTTGAGAGAGAGAGAGAGAGAGAGAGAGAGAGAGAGAGAGAGAGAGAGAGAGAGAGAGAGAGAGAGTGTGTGTTTGTGTCTAGTTTTTCTTGTTGGACTTTCTTTGGACTGCCAGCCCCCAAATAATGACAAGCAGATTTATTATGAAAGCTTGTTTCCAACGAGCTCTTATAACGTAAATTAACCTGTTTCTGTTAATCTGTGTTCTACCACATGACTTTTTACCTCTCTTCCATTCTGTGTGTCAGACTTCCTTCATGACTCAAAGGAATCCCCCCCCCCCCCCAGATTCTAACCCTGAATTCCTCACTGCCTGGAAGTCCTGTCTATTCTCTCCTGCCTAGCTATTGGACATTTAGCTCTTTCTTAAACCAAACAGGTGCATCAGGCAAGTGAGGCAAAATCTAGACACATCTTCACACACTGTAAACAAATATCCCACAATGTGTGTGTATGTTGGATAAGTACATAAAAATATTGTAGATAGTGCAAGTGTAAAATTTAAAGCCAACTTCATGACTTCAGCATGACTATTCTCACTGTATAGAAGGTCATTGAGGTGTATAGACTTTGGGTCTGGCTCATGTCACTGCAAGATGTATTTATTTGCAAGGTCTTTACGATAAAGTTTGAATTTATTATATAAAAAGCCATATTTATGAAAATACAGAAAGGAAATGGAAAAACAAACTTTTTACTATTGCTCAAGCTTTTCATTCGTTTTCCTCATCCATTATAGTCTACTTTCTCATCATTTTTACAATATAGATGTGATTGTAATAGATACAGAATTTGGGATTTTACTCTGTTAGCATTCAAACACATATTCTCATGTTATTAGAATCTATATAATTTCTCAATGGCTGCCTATTTGTATAGCTTTCATAATCATTCTTGTGTTGTAAGTTCACTTAAAGTAATCTTGTAGCTGGGAAAAGTGGTATTTAATATGAGCACTGGCGAGGCCAAGGCAGAAAGATTGAGTTTAGAGCTGGTCTGTGCTGTATAGGAAGACTTTTACTTTTAAAAAATGCTGTGACAGATATCCTAAACAAAAAAATGCTGTGACAGAAAGCTAATTTAATTGCAAAATGAAGTTTTAAAAACATTAAAGTGATTGGTTGATGTTGGATGTCTTCATTAATAGTTTTCTAACCTTACTTTTTTTGAGCAGGTTCTCTAAACCTTGATCTCACTGGCTGGTCAACAAGTCTTAGGGATTCCTGTCTGCTCCCCAGGAGTACCATTGCAGGAGTACACTGCCACACTTGGCTCCTATGTGGGGCTGAGCTTCATGCTTGTAGAGCAATCATTTCCCCAACTGAGCCACCCCCTAGTCCTACTACTTTTGCATATTACACATTGGCATTTAATAATATGGTCTAATTAATGCTAGCTTCTAAAGCCATGCTGATGAAATAAGTGAAAAGTAGGGGAGAGATTGAGAGGTTAGTAGGTCAGCATTGGAAAATGTCAGAGTTGTTAGAAATACATTGAATGGTTTTAATTTAGAGTTGTGTTTCTAGAGGTCAGTACCTGGAGAGGTGAGCACTACAACTCTATGATAGATTTTGCTTATTAAAGTGTATATTAGTATCCTGAATGTACTGGAGAGATGAACTATTAAAGGAAATATGGAAGAAGTAAGAGCAGCCACAAACTTTTTAGTCTGTAGAATTGGTTTCAGTAATTGTATTTGTATATGTGCACATAGGATTGTGTGTGTGTGTGTGTGTGTGTGTGTGTGTGTGTGTGTGTGTGTGTGTGTGTGTGTGTAGGTTTGAGGTTAACAATCATTCTTCACCTTTTTCTTTTTTACCTAGCTCTGAAGTGAGGGGTGTGTACTGTGTTTGGTTTTTACAAAGGTCGTAGGAATTTGAACTCATCTTCTTTTATAGAAAGCATTTTAACACTGAGCTGTCAAGCAGCTCCTAAAACTTCCCAAAGTTATGTTTAAAACAACCAGTGTAAGTAATATAAAAACTATTTGATGATCTTTATACTAGGAGAATATTATTTTGTGCCAAGGATTGAACCTAAGGCCTCCTATCTTCCGAGTCTGTACTCAGTACTGAATTGTCTTCTGTCCCTGACAACTGTAACATATAAAAAAAAAGTTTTGTGTTCAGAAGGCAAGTACTTAGGAAATACTCCAGAACAGCAATGGCAAACTTAAATGGGACAGATGGTAAATATTTTAGGTTTTGTGGGTCATAACTATCTCATTGTAGTATTTTTTAATACACATGTATCACTTTTTGTTTTCTTTTGTTCTAAGGACAAGGTCTTACTGGTATGTTGCCGAGGATGCACAAGTGTTTTTGACAACTTTGTAAAGATGTTAAAACCCTCTTAGTTTGTGGGGTGTATAAAAACATTGCATGGGCCAGATTTGCCATGTAATTATAGTTTATAGTTTGCCAGCTTCTGCTCCTAAAATATTTTGACATATCTGGGTTTAAACTTAAACAGTAAAAATTACCTATTAAGTTTAATTTCACATTTATTTGTTGTGTATTTGAGTTCAGGTGCACGTGTTGAGCTCAGAGGATAACTTGTGCAAGTTGGTACTGTACTTCCATCATGTGTTCACTCAGTTAGCAGTGTTGATGACAAGAGCCTGTACCTGCTGAGTGCAGCATTTATCTAATTATTCTTCATCAGTGAAAGCTGGGGAGTCAGATATCAGGATAAGAACCTGAATAATCAGAGAAGCAATAGGGAAGTGACCAGTGACCTCCTCTCTCTGTCCTTGATTCAGAAGGGGCCAAGAATTTTTCTAAGACCCACCCCACTACTTCCAGTGTCTCTCTATATGTTCTCAGTCCTCTATGGGTAATTTTGGTCAGCTAGTAGCTAGCTCTGCCCTCTGATTCAAAGCAAACTTTATTGGCAGTCTTGGGAGTGTCAGAGTACAATCAAAATATCCCACAATAGCTGGGTCATTTCACTGGCACTCTATTAAGATTTTAAATAACTGATTTATGGAAGATGGATAATTTTGAGGATATTTGTAATTTGAGTAATTTATAAGAACACTAAATTTAGCTAATTAGCTGTAACTGTTTGCAGATATTTTCCCACACTGATGTGCAGCTAATTGAAGTAGCCATGCAGTACAGCTAACTCTAAATTATCTGTGGTAATGGGAAGCAACAATATTTGAATTAAACTGTTTGGAGACAGGGTTTCTTTGTAACAGCTCTGGCTATCTTGGAACTCATTCTGTCGGCCAGGCTGGCCTTGAACTCACAGAGATTTGCTTGTCTCTGTCTCCCAAATGCTGGGGTCAAAAGCACAATAGTTTATATAGTGCCTTCCTGTCACTGCTAGGGTCCGAGCATGTGCTTGGATTTGTGAGTGAGATGTGGGACCTGGAGCTCAGGCTTAAGAGGAGCTCTGGGAGTCAGGATGATCATTTCAAAGCAAAATGAAGCTAGTTTTGGTACTCTGTGGATGACGTGTTATGTGGGGAAGCCTGCAGCATGCAGCACCATCTTGGCAATAACGGAAGGATGGGAAAACTAATAAGTAACTGTAAGAGAGTAGATAAGTTTAAGTTATGCATAATAGTGGTGATAGTCCTTGGTGTGTTTTTCAGTTAATGAGATCTGTAGCAATAGTAATACTATCAAAAGCACTGCATTGCATTAGTTTTGTTTACTAGCTGAGCAAGTACTTGCCACAGGTAAGTGCTATTATTGAGACCTTTTCTTTTCTTTTTTTTTTCCTTTTTTTCTCGAGACATGGTTTCTCTGTAATGTTTTGGAGGCTGTTCTGGAACTCACTCTGTAGACCAGACTGGCCTCGAACTCACAGAGGTCTGCTTCCCAAGTGCTGGGATTAAAGGCTTGTGCCACCAATGCCCGGCAAGACCTTTCCTTAATAAATGAGTTTATTTTCATAAAATTGGTAACTTGAGAATTTTAGGATAAAGTTGCCTTTTTTTTCCTGCTGCTGTCTCAGCCCCCAAATAACACAAGAGCCACTATATTAATTATGAAGCTGTTGGTCATTTGCTATGGTTTCTCATTGGCTAGCTTTGACTTAATTATTAACCTATAAATACTAATATATATTTTTATAAGGTCTTGTCTTAACAAGAATGGCAGCCTCATGAGTCCTCTCTTCTTGGGATCACATGGCGACTCTCTATTCTTGACTACATCCCAGAATCCTCATCATCTGCTAATCCTACCTGTCTTGCTTTCCTATTGGCCAACAGTGCTTTATTTATCAACTAATAGGACGACAGATACACAGAAGGACTTCCCCTATCACCTGTACTTCCAAAGATTCAGAGTTCTATTAAGAAGACAAAGGTGGCGATATTGAAAGCATGGCAACAACATATTTTCATTAAAAATACCTTACACAAATTTCACTAAATATCCTTTAAAACATTTTTAAATTTAAAGTTTGTTTTATGTGTATGGATGTTTTGTCTGTATGTATGTTTATATACCCTGTATATGCCTGATCCCCCAAGAGGTCAGAAGTTTGTATCTAATCTCCTGCAACTGGAGTTACAGATAGTTGTGAGCTGCCAGGTTGGTGCTGGGAATTAATCTCAGATCTGTTTGAAGAGCAGCCAGTGCTTTTTACTGCTGAGCCACCTCTCCAGCCCCTAAAAACCCTTTTGTTTAGCCAGTTAAAGTTAGGTCACAAGTATGGGTTGGTGTTGACAAGTAGTTTGAAAATCCCTAGTTGTGGGTTTCTCTGCTGCTTCAGTAAGCCAAATCCAGCTGAATTAATTAGACCCGGTTTAATAAACAGAGCAAAGCAAAGCACTCTTGGGTGATTCTTGGAAATGGGAGGAGGAGAAATCACATGGCAGGTCTGTCTGCCTGCTCTTAAATGCCCTGTAGGCGTGGTCTTAAGCATCTCAGGGGAAGGAGCTGAGGGATGGGGTTTGGAGAGAGGGGAGGGAAGGCTGAGGCAGAACTTCCACCTAAACAGGTTATTTATTATATTACTTTGATTTTTGTTGCTGTTTGTTGCATTCTAGGCCTTTTAAAAAATGTATTCCTGAAATCTAATGCCCTTTTTTTTTTTTTTTTAAGATAGGGTCTTATGTAGCCAGATCTGGCTTTGATCTCTGTGTATAGTGAAGGCTGGCCTTGAACTTTTGATCCTCTTGTCTCCAGTCTAAATGCAGGGATTATAGGCTTTGTAGGTGATTGTTGAAAACCTCAGAATATTTTGGATCAATGTTCTCCTTATTCCCTAAAATAGGTTTAGTGCTTATCATCAAGTTTTTATTCAAACTCTAACTAAAAACATACCACTTTTCTAAAATAAGATTTGATTCTGGCCACGAAATTCGTGCAGTTCCACCTGATGTGGCAAGAATAAAATTTAATACTTTTCGATGTACTTTTAATTGTGGACATTAAAAAAAAGTTATTGACAAAATTAGTTAACGACACCAAATATATATTCTTAGGCAGTATCTATTAGGGTTTCTGTTGTGATGAAACCCCATGATCAAAAGCAACTTGGGGAGGAAAGGGTTTATTTCATGTACTCTTCCATATCACAGTTCATTATTGGAGGCAGTTAGGGCAGGAACCTGAAGGCAGGAGCTGATGCAGAGTCCATGGAGGAGCACTGCTTACTGGCTTGCTCAGTCTGTTTTCTTATACAACCCAGGACCACCAGCCCAGGGATGGCCCCACCCACAAATGGGCTGCGGTCTTCTACATCAATCATGATTGTTTATAGTTTAGTCTTATGGAGGCACTTTCTCAAGTGGGCTGCCTTCTCTCAGATGACTTTAGCTTGCATAAAGTTGACATAAGATCTAGCCAGCACAGGCAGTTACAACTGTTACTTGAGTGAATAATGTAAAAAACAAGAATTTCTTCTGGATCTTTGGTTTTCGATGTGGGCAGTTTTATTCTTACAAGATGTTTGGCCACATTAGATAGTTTTGCTTATTTCATAGTGGGAAGTATTGTAAGTTATGTCTACCCATCACAACATAATAACAAATATGATTAAAGGAATAGTATTCACATTCTTTTTGGTTTTTTAAGCCAGGGTTTCTCTGTGTAACACCCCTGGCTGTCCTGGAACTCTTGTAGACCAGGCTGGCCTCTAACTCACAGAGATCCACCTGCCTCTGCCTTCCAAGTCCTAGATTAAAACTGTGCGCCACCACCGCCAGCACATTCTTATCTTTCTGTTGTGTTACATTTAGAACACTTATTGCTTATAGATTACAAACACAAACACAGCTTGTTGTGTAAAATGCCACATTAGTTTTAAAATTTCCCGAGAAATGTATTCTTTGTTAGAAAATACTAGAAGACATAAATAAAAATATATGCCGTTTGTATTGAATGTTTCTGTGAGCACTTGATAAATACTAATGAAATATTTGATCAGCATTGTCTTATAAGTTACTTGTTGAAGCAAACAAACTTTTCTGTCAAATTGACTTTTTGGGAGGGAGGGACTGGGTAACTGGGAATCGAATTAGGGTTGTGTACTACTGATCCTAGCTTTTGAACCTGTTTTTTTTGTTTGAGATGGGGTTTCTCTGTGTAACAGCCCTGGCTGTCCTGGATTCTCTTTGTAGACCAGGCTGTCCTTGAACTCACAGAGATCTGCCTGCCTCTGCCACCCAAGTGCTGGGATTAATGGTGTGTGCCACCACTGCTCTGTAAGGGTAACTCTTAATGGAAAGGAAAAACTTGTCATGTTTAACCTGGTGACTGACAGCCTTTTTCTGTAAAGCGGTAATTATTTTCATTTTCATAAGCTTAGGATCTTTGTTGTGATTATTTGCACTACTGTAGTTTAAAAATAACTATAGACAAATAAGCATGTGAATAATATATCACCATAAATTATGGAAGCCAAAATTTGAATTTGATATAATTGTCTTATGTCATGCCATGACTTTTACTTTGGTATTTTTAAACTGTTAAAGATCACCATGGGTTGGGGAAACGACTCGGTACAGTGTTTACTGCACAACCAAATAAAGAGCTGAGTGTGATGTGCACTTCTAATCACAGTGCCAGGAGACGGAAACAGACAGATGCCTGGGACTGGTTGACCAGCCAGCTTAGACAAATTAGAAAGACCTATGTTCAGTTTCCACCACAAGAACACAATACATATATGAAAACCTGCATATGCGTGCACATGAATATGTTAAGTTCTGCTTTTAACATGTGGGCTATAAAAATCAGGTGGTGGGCCAGATTAGATTTGAGTATATGCTTTGGCAATCCTTGCATTAGGTTAAAAGAATAAAACCAGTAGTCTAGAGAGATGATGGTTTATGAAATGAATAAGAAGCAATGTTAAATCTCCAGGCGTTTGATATCAGAACCCTATCTGTCTTTGTGTTGTCTTCTTTATATCTCACAGACAGTTGATATTCATAAAGAGAAAGTTGCAAGAAGAGAAATTGGTATTTTGACTACCAATAAAAACACTTCAAGAACCCATAAGATTATTGCACCAGCCAACCTTGAGCGACCAGTTCGTTATATTCGAAAACCTATTGACTACACAGTTCTAGATGACATTGGACATGGAGTAAAGGTAGGTGCAATTTTTGTCAAGTTTTCAAAAGTAGTAATCTGTAGTGGAACCTTAGAAAATGAAAGTTTATTTAATTCTCTAAAGGACCAAATCTTGACACAGTTGTGAAGATGGCTTACCACTGTTAACTATTGTCCTTAAGTTTAGTGTTACATTTTCAGATGCAGTCATCTTGTAGTGCGATTTGCTTAAATTACATAGGCCAAATAAAGTATAGTATAGTTGTTCTAATCTTTTAATGATTTAATATGACAGAAAAATCATCCAACATATTATTAAAATATTTTTCTTATCTAAAAAATTCATCGGCAGACTTTTGGCATTAGTTTTCAGAACAGGATATGTTATTAAACATGAACTTGGTTTTCGGTTTATTTTTTTCCTAGAATAATCTTATCACAACCTTTTGGGTAAGAATAGTATAGATAAAAGTTGCAAAGTATTGTTTGTTTCCAATGCTTTTAAATTTGTAGCATTAAATATTTTGGCCATCTTTTAAAGTTAATTGAGTATCTGGTATGCATATGAAGTACTGTCATCAAGATTCTGGAGTATTGGGAGTGTGACCCAGTGGTAGGTGATGAACTTTTTCACACACAAAGCCCTGCATTCTGGCACTAACACTTCAAAACACCTGCCACCTACAGCTGGACAAAAGTGTAGTTTCTGTAAGTTGGTGTTTCCACGTAGGAAACCATTTAGAGCTGCAGCTAAGTACATTATTTACAGTTTATGTTTCACTAGTGATTGAAAAAAATACTTAAGTATGACTTCAGTAAATATACACATACGTCTATCTGTAAACTATATAGTTCATGACTATATTTTTGTGATTCAAATCTATTTATATAAAATATATACCACCATTTTGGCTAGAAATCAGTAAATTCAAATTTAATATTTATCAATGGAAAAATAATACATAAAATACAAATTTATTTGTAAAACAACTTTTATTTCAGAGTTATGGTTTTGATGTTATTGTTTGTTTTTTTAAGATAGGGTCTTACTATTTTAACTCTGGCCTGCCTCATTGTGTAGGCCACGCTGACCTTGAACTCAAAGTGATGAGCCTGCCTCTGTCTTCAGAGTGCTGCGATTAAAGTGTGTGCTTCCACACTTGGCTAATTCAGAGTTTTGAATAACCGTTATTATCTGGAATTTGATACTTGATTTTATAATTGATTCTTACATATCTTTTATTAATGACTAATTAAAACTTATAAAATAGAATATATAACTAATTGGTTAATTTAAACTAATTCATTTTAACTTGGGGCAAGTTTGTTGAAGATGAACAACTGTTAAAAGAATGTTATAGACTGCTACCAGAATCTGATGTCAGCCAGAAGATGCTTGCAATATAGAATATCACATTTGTGCTTGCCTGTTTATACATTGAAGGTGAATCCTTATGTAATTCTTGTTTAATCCTTAAAATAAAATATTTTTCTTTTAGAACGATAGCCTCTGTTGTTTGTACTTTAGTGGTCATTAATTTGAAGAACTCTTTAAAGGAATTAAAATGTTGAATAAAACAGTGTCTTATGTCATCAATGAGACTCCTGTTCATGACACATTCTGCTTTAACCACTCTTTCTATGATCTACTGAGACATTATTTTGTTAATGCTGATTGCGTAACTTGTTTTTCTTTGTTTTCTTTCTTTCGTCTTCACATCCTGAAGTTCCAACTAACCTTTCAATGCTTTTTTCCCTTACCTCTTTGATTTGCTCCATTTATGCATTAAGTGGTTGCTTAGATTTAAGGTAAGAGATCCCAGGGCTGGATTTCCATTCTGTGTTCTTATGTAGAATATTACATATGGGGAGTAAAGAGAAACTTTTCATTTGGCCTTTTAAAATGAGTAAATTAGTCCTCTTTATTTATTTTGGTCTAGCAACTTTGTTGTATGTCTTCATGTTCCCTGATGGTAGGTTTTTTTTTTTTTTTTTGGTCTATTTTGTTCATTGCCTATTCTTTGTGCCTAGAACAGTACTAAACACACATTAGGTGATTAGTAAGTATTTGCTGAATGAATGGGTGCTTTTGTGAAACTGAAATATGTTATACTGTTGTAAAGTGTTATGAGATAAAATCAGCTGAGTCTTTATAAATGTGGAAATTTTCCTATTGATTGGAGGGCCAACTAATATGATTTATTTAACCCTCCCCCTGTGTAATAGCTTTTTATTCTATAAATGGTGTGCTTCATTATATGGTTTGTTAACAATATGTCATTATCTTTTGACTTCTAATACAGAAAAATTGAGGAGCAAAAAATATGTCATCACATGCTTTTTTTTAAGTTGCAGTACATTTTATAAAATAGTCATTTAAAATGGTTGTATAAAATATATTTCAATATAAGCTCATCTTAAGTCTTTTTAAAAGGTGAATATTATTTGTATGTACAACATCCAAAGTTCATGATAATGTTTAAAAGATACAAAATAAGAATTAGAGATAGGGTCTGGAAGGCATTTCTCAGTGCTAGAACACTTGCCTAGCATGTAGAGGGCCCTGGTTCAATCTCTAGCACTAGAAACTAACCAGCCAACCAAATAAAAGACCATACACACTCAAACAAAGCATGGTGCTGTTTCCTGTTGTGACCTGTGTATTAGTGTTTTGAAGAATCCATGATGAAACATTTCAACTGTATTCAAGAAGCCTGTCAAATACAGTGTCATTAAAATGATTTTCATCAAACTTATCATGCATTTCTTTTTTTTTCTTAGCCAAATTTTGTGCTTTCTTTTCAGATATGTTTTTGTTGTGTTTGTTAATCTGTAGTTTGCCATATCTTGAGTATAGTTAGTGGTAAGCAGAAGACAGGATGACTGTATTACCTAGAATTAACCATGGCCATAAAAATTTGTCTGGTCATGACAGGTAGATCTGACAAGTCATATGGTTCAATTGCTGGTAACCTAGGTATGTGGAATTGTGGGAAGGTTCCTTCTGTTTGAAATGGCCAAACCACAGTGAACTAGACTAAAAAATAGGCAGTATTCAAGTTTTGGCTTTTGGTCCATTAACCTACAAAGTCGTAGCAATGCCCAGAAATAGTAAGTGAAGAGGTAGGGTGATCCTTTCTGTTAATGTTTAGTCTGTTGTCTAAGCTATTCTCCATGCTTCTTTTCTCTAGGTTGTGCTATGTTGCTTCCTTCACCTTGAATGTCTGTTTTCATGCAAGAGATAGGTCCCCTGAGGGCTTCCTAGAAAGCTCCCATATGCATTATGTTTGGATAAGATGCCCCAAAAAGTTTCACACTAGAATCCCAAAGGGTTGTACTAGTATAGTACTGATATACTGGATGGCACACTATAGCGAAGGATAATGTTGGGCAGGAAATTATGGGCTTCACCTGTTTCTCCCTCTCCTCTAATCCATATATAGATAAAATTATTCATAGTCCTTTTTTCCCTCTCTGTATTTAAATCCAGGTTTTAAAGATAGATTATCAAACCCAGGACTTTGAATGTATTAAGTATGAACTCTCCTGATTCTATATCCTTAGCCCCAGATCCTTTCTCTTCAGTGTCTCTTGTTAGTCAAAACTGGCTTTGAACTCGCTGTGTAGCTGAGGCTGGCAGGCCTTGAGCTCCTATCTTGTGTCTCAACCTCCAAATAGTGAGATTCCAAACATGAGCGCCACACCTGATCTTTTTCTTTCCCCTTCCTCTTTCCACCCTCAGCTTTGTCTCCACTCGACTCAGTTTCTCTGTGAAACATTCTGTGGTGGAAGTCTGAATATGGCTATCACCACCTGGACTCAGAGCAGTTATGGTTATCCATATAAGGCCTTACAAGATTGGGCTCACTAACATCTGTCTTGGACTGATGAAGAGAGCTCAAGGGACAGTGAGTTCGCTCAGCAAGTCCTTGTCCTCCTTAAGGATAAACAAGTGCTTAATAGTTTCTGAAGGATACTCTGCTGGATGGTGTAGTTGTCATGCTCTGTAAGGAACCCCTCACTCATGCTTCTGTAACTCCAGCCAAATTCATCAGTTCAGCAAAACAGACATATGGTTTCATCCGAGATAAAGAGACATTTGTTCATACCTTCCTAGAAAAAGTCACACACCACCTTCCCCTAAAAGTTTTTTCCACATTACTACTACTACTACCTTTAAAAAAAATCCTTATTTGTAGAGATGGTTCTTTCTTTTAAACATGACTCATATAGTCCTTTTATAGATCACTTTACTCTTTTTCCTCTTGAGCCTTTTTTCTTGTATATAGTAGACTGGCAAGTGATTTACAGCTGAAAGCTACATTACAAATCATTTTAGAATGCATCTGTCACTGTTCTGTTGAAGCAGGTCATCTGTCAGTATAAGATTGCATATCACAGGTGATCCCACTGGTGAGCTGGAGATACTGGGCTGACCAGCTTCAGAAATAGTGCTGAAGTTCAGAGCTAAGCCCCCCACTTGGGTGCAGAATCTTATATATACGTGCTGGACAAGTACTCTACCACTTTAATGTATTTTCTGGTTAGTTATATCTTTGAAGTGAACCCTGGGGTCATTTCTCACTTAATGATGGAAGCATTATTTGGCAGGTAACCATGTTAGCTATTTTGTTGCTGAGTGTACATGGACAGAGCATGGTAGTAGCATAAGCATCTGTAATCCCAGTACCCCCATACAGGGAGATGAGAAACGGAGACACCAGGATCTCCAGAAGCTTGTACACTAGGTAGTCTGGTTTACTCAGCAGCAAAGGGATCCTGTTTCAAACAAGGTGGAAAAAGGTGAGGATTATACCCAAGATTCTTGTCTGACTTTTACATGTACCCTGTGGTATGCATGTACCTGCAGGTGTGTATATACACATACACACACTCAGAAACACATGTATGAATACATCAAAAAGAATGGTTATAGCACACACATGCACACGTATTTCAAGAGGAGTTACTATTATAACGTGGATGCAGTTTTTGTTTTCCTTTTTGACGTTTATGATATGTACATACACAACCATGTTGTCTTCTACCACAAGCGTGATTTAGCCAGTTGTTTTGCTAATTGTCAGGAAATATGTTTCTAAAACACCTCAAAAGTTTCTTTTAGGATCATGATATCTATTCAGTAAAGAATTTTTGAACAATTATTTTAGATTTGAACTATTCAGTTACAGTTTTAAATTTTCCCTTTATAAAGAAATGAAGTATTTTTGTCACATTACCATTTTCTTAAATTTTTTTGTATCCATGTTCTCTACACTGCTTGTTTTATGTAGCACAGAGGAAAATTCCCTTGAGATAATAGTGATAAACTTAGCCTAATAGACAGTAGTATAGCGTCAGTGATGAATTAAGATTAGGCGGGTTGAAGATTACATAGGGACTCAGGTTCTTAAGTGACTTATTGCTTTTCCAACCCATTAACCAAATAGTTGAGGATTTTATAGATCATAAAATATATTCATTTTTGGTTACATATGACCACCCAATTTTAACTAAAAGATTATTTTACTCTATTATTAGGGTAGGTTTGGAGACAGAGAAGGTACTGCAATTTAAATAAAAGCACCTTGCATATTGAAACCTAAACTAAATTATAGTTGGAAAGTTATTTTCAAGTATCTTAGCTATCCCATATATAGAATAAAATCCTCTTTTTTTCTTTTTCTGTTCTTGCTCCTTTTCCTTCCTGTTTCTAGCAAATTTAATTGTAGTTTAGTGTTTGGTTTACTTCTTCCTCATCACTTATAGTAACTCTGGGTTTATGTTGTTTAAGGTTGAGCTTAAAGGACTTTGGTTACTACTCAAACCCTGTGGTATCATAAACCAAAACATGCAGTTCTTAAATGTTATGGTGGTTATTTGTCATATTACTTATGAAATTTTCTGCAAATGTGAATTGAGTTTTCAAAGTGTCTTCTGACATTTTAAAGATAAAATTCACTGCCCTCTGCTTACTAAAGAGGACGATAACAAGGCTAATTTATTTGATAATTTGTATTTATTGTTTAAAAGCAACAGCAAAAGGATATCAGGCAAATCCTTTACTTTAAAAATAATAACATTTCAAAGGTACCATTTGTCATTAAAGATTGTTTTAACATCACACACAACTTGTTCACTGGGCTTTTCATTTGAAGAATTTACTGCTTGATACATTATTTCTTGCCTATTTGGATAAGTGATAATTATTATTTTAGAACTAAAAAAAATCTACCCAAGTCAGAGTTAGTTTTGACATCCTCAGTACTCTGATATAATCAAGATTTGTTTCATAAAATTTATATTTTAAAATTGGTCAGGTGTGGTGGTGCACATTTTTAATCCTAATACTTGGGAAGCAGAGACAGACTGATCTCCATAGTGTTTCAGGCTAGCTAGGGCTTCATAATGAAAAAAATCTCTCTCTCTCTCTCTCTCTCTCTCTCTCTCTCTCTCTCTCTCTCTCTCTCTCTCTGTATATATATACATATATATGTATATATGTATTTTAAAATTATGATATAAGTCTTCACAGTGGTATAAAAATATCTTACCATTTTATGTTGTAAGTATAAATTTTAATTCTGAAGACAGTATTATGAGAAGCTTGAGATTCTTTCTTTAAATTTGTGTTGTGATGCCTGACAGCTAGCAACTGTCTGTAACTCCAAGAGCTGACACTCTAACACAGACATTCATGCAGGCAAAACACTAATGTACTTAAAATAAGAATAAATAAATTATTAAAAATATGTTGTGATGATGGCAATCCAAGATAATAGGTATTTAAAATAAAGCATGTATGAATCTACTTTATGGATAGTAATGCAATCTCTTGGTAGTCTCAGACACTGTGAGGTTGCATTGCACTGTGTTCCTTACTGACTTCTTATAAGGACACTGGGTGTTTAAGGGTTTTCTGCAAGGGCTGACATACTCCTTTAATGGCATCATTATTCCCAGATTGCCCATCTTTTCTGTATTTAAAGTTTCAGTTGGAATAGAATTATGAATCCAGTCATGGTCCATCTCTGACTTAGGACTATTTCACACTGTTTCACTCCTCAGTTAGCCTTCACTTTGGGCCTGTGTGGACTTAATTCCCACTGGAACTCACACAATGACAGTGGCTTTTGTGTTCTCAGTGATGGGTTACCTCAGCCCTAACACTGCCCTGAACTTCTAGCAGTGTTCAGGTAGGTGATTTCCTCATAAGGAGAACATTAAATCTGAATTGTGAGAGTGAGTCACAAGTTTAAAGAGCTGAACTCTTTTCTTTGTATATCATAACAGTTTATTTGTATTTTATATTCTCTAGTTACAGCTGAACATATGCATAATTGCATATTTTTTAGCTGGGAAACATGTTTTATGATATATTTGTTATATATAAGGAATCCCCAAAATGAAAAAATGATTAAAGAGCTTATTGTTTCTAATTTTTTTGTTACCGTTAAAGTTTTTATAACTATACTATTTGATTTTAGCTGAGTGTAATATCAGATAGCCTAACCAGTGATCTGTTGGTGTGATGGCCTAATGGCAAATACATTCTGCACATACAAGTTTAAAATAATTTGAAAATCCTTTTAGGAAGAGTCCTTTGAGTACAACTACAGAGTAGTAGAGTAGGAATTGCATACGAATTGCATGGCCTCTAATTTTTTTCTTATTTAAACCTTCCCCTCTTTGTTTTCCAAATGCCACTTTGTTTTACTGCATAGAAATTAAGTTGTGTTTTCTTCAACATTTTTTTTAGGTGAGTACCCAGAATATGAAGATGGGTGGCCTGCCACGTACAACACCTCCAACCCAAAAGCCCCCAAGTCCACCTATGTCAGGAAAGGGGACACTTGGGTGAGTATATAGTAATAGAAAACCATGTCATGTACTGTTGTATTTAAAAAAAACCCTCTATGTAAATTAGTAGGGAGAATATTTTCTTTATAGTGTTGCCTTTGTGTCTTTCTTTTTTCTCCCTTTCCTTCCCTCCCCTCCCCTCCCCTTCCTCCCACCCATCCTCCTTTCCTCCCTTTCTCCCTTACTCCCTCCCTCCCTCCCTCCTTCCCTTTTGTCTGGTAAGCACATCTTTATACTTTACAAAAATAATTTCTAAATAACCACTTTTAGTGAGTTTTAAATTAACAAAAAAATCCTAGCCTAAATTCATGGTTAATTATAAAGTGAAGACTAACTTTAATTTCTTTTTTTGTAGGAAATTTTGATGGTCCTTTTATATTACAGTTACATTTATCAGGATGTCTAGGCTATGTAGATTATAATATTCTGTGTAATTGTTATATTTCTGAGCTGTAATTTGGGCCCTGGAGTTGACTTTATTTTATAAATTGCCACCTAGAAGGAAAGTATGACTTTTTCCTTTTGCAGTATCCTAGCTTTATTGTGATTGAGGTTTGTGAGTAAGTGGGTGTGATATAATCCAGAAGCCAGTTGACTGAAATTCTGATGTAGCTCCACTGTTTTTTCTATGGTCCTGTAGTCAGTTTATCAACAATTTAGTTTTTTCATCTGTAAAGGGGGTAATATTTGTCCTCTATCAATTTTCCAGGGTTACTGTACCATAAATTGGATTTTTAAAAAATGTATAAGACAAGTGCTTTCAGAACTATTGTCTGTGATATTTTCTTAAAAAAAAAATAAAACAAGAGGAAACCTGCAAGCAACAAGAACATCAAACTCCCCCATCAAAACTCAGTCAGACAAGCACTTGGATTTGTATAGGACCAAGGCAAATTGAAATATAAGGGAGGATAATGTTGGAAAGGGATTATAGTTTGGTCAGTAGAAAACAAAACAAAAATGTAAAACCAGGAGTAGGATGCTTTTCATTAATAGATTTATTTTTGCCTTTTAAACCAGGTGTTGTCACTATATAGTGTAGTCCATATTGTAATTCCTCATTTCCTCAAATTTTGGAATGCCAGGATTACAGGTTTGTGCTTGTAATCCAGTTTAGGCTTTATCCAAAATGATCTTTTTGTTCTTAGAATACAGAGAAAGAATCTGATTGGCCAAATAAGATAAACTTGAAGGTAGACTGAAAACAGTGTAGTGTTTGATGGTTGCTGAGGAAGTATTTGCTTTGTTTTCTTGTAGAACATATTTACATTTCCTCAGCTACAATGCCTAATGTGATGTGTAAAGGTTGAAGTTAATTTTGTTATCAAGTCTCTAGTAGAATTAAAATTTCTTCTGCACTCAGATTTTGAACTCATGTACCAATAATGCGTTTTCTTGGGTATTCGTTAGTAGTTCAGCTCCTTGGAGATCAGAGTGGCTGAAATTCATTGTCCATTTGGTAGTCATGGGCTGTTTTCTTTAGTCTTTGACTTGTCACCATATTATTCTTCTTCCTCCTGTTTATTTATTTATTTTTTTGGTTTTTACAAGACAGGATTTCTCTGTATTGTTTTGGAGGCTGTCAGTCCAACCTGGCCTCGAACTCACAGAGATCCGCCTGCCTCTGCCTCCCGAGTTCTGGGATTAAAGGCGTGTGCCACCACTGCCCGGCTCCTCCTGTTTATTTTTATAACTTTGTTCATATCATTGTTTTTCTGTATATCTCGTAGTTAGTGAAGATAGAATGGAGCATTTTAGTGTGTGAGAAACATTGTCAAAAGTAGACTTTCGAAATTAATTTTCTGATATTCATACATATATGTTTATACAAGTATTGTAATTTCAAAGATGCTTGAATTTTTAAAAAAATTTCCTTTTGACACAGTAACACATGTAGTGTCTCTTACTTCAAATTGTTAATTGTTTATTAATTTTTTTTTCTTTTTAGATTTTCAAGACAGGGTTTCTCTGTGTAGCTTTGGAGCCTGTCCTGGAACTAGCTTTGTAGACTAGGCTGATGTTGAACTCACAGAGATCTGCCTGCTTCTGCTGGAATTAAAGGCATTCGTCATCACCATTGCCCAGCCTATTAATTAATTGTCAATTAATTGTTTATTGAGCAATACCCAAGGGAAGGAGAGGCAACAGTGCCTTTGGAAATAATTTCATTTGGGTGGTAGAGGCACAGTCCTTTAACCCCAGCACTCAGGAGGCAGAGGCAGGTGGATCTCTGTGATTTTGAGTAGTGAGTTACAGAATTCCAGGACCACCAGAGCTACACAGAGAAACCTTACTGGGGGAGAGAGAGAGGCAGAGAGGGGTTCAAAGTCAGTGAATTTGAGTGGTCAGGAACGCAGTACTTAAAGAAACTCTGAAAACCTGGTTGGGAATGAATTACTGAGAAATACAAGAGCCACTTTAGCAAAACTTTTAAATTTTCCTACCTTGGGATGCCAAATTCTTTTAAAGACCTAAATCTCACCTGCAAGATGTCATTGTCCCTGAAGGATTTGGTCACTTGAGAACAAGACTTGACTGAGTGCCAAGCAGTGCTCCAGGCAGCACTTTAAATCCTGTTTTTTTTTTGTTTTCTGGCTTTTTCTTGTTCTTCCTTTGGAAAAAGGGAAGCGACTTGTTAGTAACATTGTCTGGTTTGGGTTTTACAGTTTAACTAAGATAGAAGGACGACTCAGGTAGTCTTTTAAAATTTCCTATCAATGTTGTAATCTGACAAGGAAACAAGAAATTAAGGTGAAGTTGAAGGAGAAAGGTTGTAAAAATGGGCAATGAAATAGTTATATATATTTAAGTACCAATATACCTTTAATTTCTGTGTGTTTAGTGTATAAAAAGGGGAATGATTTAAGGCTAGTATTGATCATCATGTGGAAGTTGTGACTCCAAAAACAGATTTGTCATCAGTATTAATAATTAATAAACATCTTTGGTTAGGGAGAGAGAGGAGAAGAAGATAATTAGTGCATTCACTCAGTACATTTGGTAGATTTTGACATGAATCTAAAATAATTCAAATTCTTCTATGAAAAGAGTAGAGTCTAGAAAACATTGGCTTAAACAATGGAAAACTTGTGTTTTCTGTGAATAAATGAACAAAATTACATTAGCATAGGGAAATGAGGTTGGAGACTGAGATTTACACTACATACTCACCAGAACTCTCTCTAATGGTAGAAGAGTTGTACTGTAGGAAAGACTAATTGATAGCTGGGTTAAACCACATTTCCGATTTCTGCTTACAAATTGTGTTTCACTGGCAACTCTGAATTTACCGTGCCGAAACTTGGCTAATCACACAATACATACGCTCTTCTTTTTGTAGGCGGCACTCCCCCTATCGCACACTGGAGCCAGTGCGTCCTCCAGTGGTACCAAATGATTACGTACCTAGCCCAACCCGTAATATGGCTCCCTCGCAGCAGAGCCCTGTGAGGACAGCTTCTGTGAATCAAAGAAATCGAACTTACAGGTATTTTCTCTACCTCAGCACAAAACATGATGGTCACAGTACCATAATCTGTTCAGATAACTTCAGTTAAATCTCTCTCATTTTCCAAGCACTAAGTTCTTTTTCTCACTCTACTCTCCCAAACCTCATCTGATTCTTCTTCTCTCTCCTCATGCTCTGATGCAACTTTGAGCAGTCAGGAAGGTGAAAAAGACATCTTAAAGTATAAACGTATCAACAAAGATAAAACTTAATTCAAAAAAACATTATTAACCAGAAATGAAAATTGAAAGTAATTTTTTTGGTGGAAATTTACAGATGAAAAACCACTCATATTAAAATGTTAGTATATTACCATGCCATTACAAGTGGAAATAAAATAGTCTAGTAAAACTTACTATAATTTTCTTTAGGTATTAAACCAGGATATAAAACATAATATTTACTATTTTGATATGTTCAGCACAAACAATTTGCCCTTATATTTATAGAGGATTTCTTAAAAAAATTTTATTAGGCCTCATAAATAGGTATTAAAACAAGTTTACTGAACTCAGATTTTCTCCTTATTTATTAAGAATTCATGTTTGAAACGGAAGCTTTTTGAACTTTATTTCTCGTGGCTGTGTCCATTTCGGAAATACATGGGACCCCTGATCTCTTGCTCTCTGTACTCACTTTGATGGCTCTTACTTCTTTAGCAGCAGTGGGAGCAGTGGAGGAAGCCACCCGAGTAGTCGGAGCAGCAGTCGGGAGAACAGTGGGAGTGGGAGTGTGGGGGTTCCTATCGCTGTTCCCACCCCGTCTCCTCCCAGTGTCTTCCCAGGTAAAGCATTAGTGATCGTTTGTTTTTTTTTCTTTTGTCAGTTTGAATTCAGTTTGTCATTGGAGTGAGTTTGCTTGGTTTTGTGTGTGTGTGTGTGTGTGTGTGTGTGTGTGTGTGTGTGTGTGTGTGTGTGTGTGTGTGTGTGTGTGTGTGTGTATCCACCATGAATATGTTTCTGGCTATTGAGTCTAGAGTCTCCTACAGATGGGTTTTCTTCTTAATAAAGATTTTAAAGACTTCCTTAGCACTCCATAAGTATTAGGAAGTCTGCATACATTTGTTACTTCTGTCTAGTGATAATAATTGTTCTGCTGTGTCTCTACTTGTCTGTTACTTTGTTTTATGTCTTTGGTATTAGTTCTTTTGGTGCCTTGAGGTTTCATGTTCATTATGGGATGGGTTACTTTTTTAGTTTCAGTTAGCATTGCAACTACATTTCCTTGGAAATAGTGAGGACATGGTTTGAGGATCATTTGGTAACAAAAGATGAGAGATGTAAATTTAAAGATGTATTATAATTTAGTAGTTAATGAAAAACTATTTCCCCTCCTCCCTGAAACAGAAGAATGTAGTTGTTTGATTTGAAAACACAGAGATTGAATTTAGTTTTAAAAGCATGAACACAAAAACATTACGATAGGGGCTGGAGGAATGACAGTTCATTAGTTAACAGCCCTTACTGCTCTTGTAGAAAGACCCAGGTTTGGTTTAAGCACCCACTGTGACTCCAGCTCCAGGTGATCCAACACTCTCTTCTGGTCTCTGGACACCTACATGTAGATGGCACATGTAAAGTCTTTTAGGCTTACACATGTGTAAATAAAAATCTTTATTAAAACCTAGCAGAATAAGCTGGTATGTTGGCGCATGCCTTTAGCTCAGTACTCAGGAGGCAGAGGCAGATAGGTATCAGAGTTTGAGGCCAGCCTTGCCTACAGAGGAAGTTCCAGGACAGCCAGGCTTCGCAGGGAAACTCTGTCTTGGAAATCCCACCCCCAAAACAAATCCCAAACCCAGCAAGATAGAATATCACATAGTAGGCTGTGGTGTATGTGTGTAATCTAGCATGCAAAGGCTAAGCCAGGAGAATCTAGGAGCCAGTGGGTTAGCTAGTGAGAATTCTGTCTTCAAAAACAAAACAATGTATTTAATTACAATAATGCTAATAAAAATACCTTTTTACAAAATCATGAAAAATTTTGTGAATTTTTAAGTGTTTATTTTAAACTAAAAAGATACTGTCTGGAAATATGTCTGTTTTCTGACTCATGTTGTAATTTAATAGTATATTGTTACTGTAGTCTTATATAGGACATGCCATTATAAAAAATAACATGTAGGAAGCAGTTTTCTCCTAGGTTAATTGCTTACAGGTTAAAAAGGAAGGTTTGGTTTTAGCTAATTAACATTTTTCTTTACTACCTGGGCATCTTGAATTATTTGTTGCTCACATAAATAACCTTAACCATTCTTTTTTCAATGCTCTATTCTTTTGGCTAGTTTTCAGTGCTGAATACTCTTAATATTCCAATGCCTTTTCTAATGCTAATATGAATGCCTTATTAATGCTGCCTCTTACTCCTCTTTCCCATCAGCCCCTGCTGGCTCTGCTGGCACTCCTCCCCTTCCTGCTACTTCTGCATCTGTCCCTGCTCCTCTTGTTCCTGCTACTGTCCCCTCCTCCACTGCCCCAGATGCTGCTGCTGGGGGTGCACAGACCCTTGCTGATGGCTTCACTTCTCCAACTCCCCCTGTTATTTCTTCCAATCCCCCTACAGGTGAGTATTGCTATGGCAGACAGATCCTTCATCTGGCCATTCTTGCCTGAAACTTCAGCTTCATGATATTTGCTGGTTTGGTTTTACTTTGTATTTTTTAAAAAATGGTGATTAATATTTTAATCAGAAAGTTGTATGTGAGCAAAGAATTTGCTGAGAAAATTGGGCTGACTATGATACATTTGTTCAATAAAGGATCACAAACATAAATAATTGCTTTAATCTGTTAAAGACATATAACTTAGAGTATGGTGTTAACTTCTTTATAGTTTTGAAAATTTACCATTAGAACTAGTATAGGGAGCTTAGTTGGTGAAGTGCTTGCTGTGAGAGCATGAGCACGTGAGTTCTATTCTCAGGACCCACATAAAAAGCAGGCAAGGTGGTATATATTTGTAATCCCAGTGCTGGGGAGCTGAAGGCGGATGGATCCCTGGGGCTTGCTGATTAGTCAGCCTATCCAGTGGGTAAGTGCCAGGTCTTAGTAAGACACTGCTTGAAAACACAAGGTTGATGACTCCTGAGGAACAGCACCAAAGGGTTGGCCCTGTGGCCCCTGCATGCTCTACTGTTCACATGCACACGTATCTGCATATAACACCTGTACACCTATACATGTACACACACCAGTACTATTACAGGTTAAGTAATGAACAAAAACAAGCCTATGATTATATATATTCGAGTCAGGTTTCTCAGTGTAACAGTCCTGGCTGTTCTGGAACTTACTGTGTAGACCAGGCTGGTCTCCATCTCACTGAGATCTGCCTGCCTCTGCCTCCCAAGTTCTGGGTCTAAAGTTGTATGCCACCACTGTCCATCTGAAAAATATATTTTAATGTAATGTTTTATATAGAAAATTACAAACTTCTGTTTATTGTAATGAAAGTTTCGCTTATATTTTAGCAGTAACAGAAACTCATTAACTGTACTTCAAAGGACTTCAGGATTATTTAATCTGACTGGTGTCTTATGTAAGATTTCAACCTACTGCTAGGAAGATGACCCATCAGATACAGTGCTTGCTGCCCAGCCTAACAACCAGATTTGAATCCATGGGACCCTTAATGATGAAAATAGAGAATCAGCTCCTGTAAGGTTCTCTAACCTATACAGGCACACATACATGCACATACCCTCGCACCCACTCACGCTTCCTGTGGTATGAATGCACCTGCCTTATAAATAAATGTAATCATTCTTTTAAAGATCTCAACCTCAAATATGTTTTGCTGGGATAGTTGGTAACGACTCAGTTACCTCAACATACACTGAACAGTTAATATGATGCTGGTTAGTAAATACATTCTCCTTTTTTCCAGACAGGGTTTCTCTGTGTAACTTTGGCTGAACTGGAACTTACTCTGTAGACCAGACTGACCTCAAACTCAGAGATCCACCTGCCTCTGCCTCTAATTACTGGGATTAAAGTCATGTGCCACCACCACCTGGTTTCTAATAAAACATGTTTTAGAAGACATCTTTGTCCAAATTGGATTTTGGATGTTGCTTTATTGTGATAGCTTCTGTATAGTCCTTAAGAAGATCTTTAGTGGATGAGTGAAAATATAGGCAGTCATTTGATTGAGATATGCAGTTCTGTTACACTAGCCCAGCTAGGTGAATATAGGAATGTTATTAATGCTATAGACACAGAAATAATAAATGACCCTTAACTAAGAATTTTAGTAATTAAATGATAGTTTAATAATAGGTACTTGGCCAGGCATGGTGCCTGCCTCTGCCTCTCAGTGGTGGGATTAAAGACATGCACCACATGCTTGGAATATTTAACCTTTAAAGAAACTACCAAACTGTTTCCCAAATAACTGTACAATTTAAGTGTTTTTTCCTTTCAGTTTTAATTTGCATATGTAATGAATGCTGAGGCTAGGCCTACTTTCTTGGGCCTTTTTGGTGGGGGGCTGCTAATGGACCTAACTTTAGTTTATATAAATAGGTGTATTTAAAATTCTTTTTAACGGTGGTGGTGCACACCTTTAATCCTAGCACTCTTGAGGCAGAGGCAGGCAGGTCTCTGAATTCAAAGCCAGCGTTGTTTATAGGGTTCCAGTACAGCCAGGACTGCACAGAGAAAGTCTGTCTTGAGAACCCCCTCCAAGTTTTTGGTGTGTGGTTTTTTTTTTGTGTGTGTGTGTGTGTGTGTGTGTATAAATGTTTGACCTGAATGAATGTATGTGCACCACATGCTTGCCTGGTGCCTGAGGACATCAGCAGAAGGCATTGGATCCCGTTTAACTGTAATTAATAACAATATAATTGTGAGTCGGGCGCACACCTTTAATCCCAGCACTTGGGAGGCAGAGGCAGGCAGACTTCTGTGAGTTCGAGGCCAGCCTGGTCTATGAGAGCTAGTTCCAGGACAGCCTCCAAAGCCACAGAGAACCCCTGTCTCGAAAAACAAAATGAAACAAAAAACAAAACGAACAAAAAAAAAAAAAAAAGAGTATAATTGTGAGCTGCTATGTGGGTACTGGGAACCAAGCCCAGATTCTCTGCAAGAGCAACAGTGCTCTTAATGACTGAGCCAACTCTCCAGCCAAATAGTGCCCTGTTTAATACAGTGTCTCTGAATCCCACTGCAGACTTAACACAGATGAGCTTTTAGACTGGATCCAGCTTTATGGAATTCATAATGGTATTGCCTTTGTTTTCTTTTGAAGATCCTAGGCTAGTATTAGTAACATATGAATGCTTTTCTTTCTGCCTGTATTTCTTTGTTTTCTGCCTCTTTCTCCTCTCTCCCTCATCATATAGCATATTCTCCTTCCTGTCTTCCTGTTATTTCCTTCTCCTTTCCATGCCTTATTGCCTGCCCGCCAGAGTGCATCCTTTTTTTCCTCAATATATGTTTTTATTTAAATTAGAAACATGAATGCTTCACATGTCAATCCCAGCTCCCTCTCCCACCCCCTCCTCCCTTGTCCCTCCACCAGTCCCCCCATCCCCCCCAGTCCCCATATCATTCCCCAGGGGGTGAGGCCCTCCTTGGGGGAATCTCCAGAGTCTGTCATTTCATCCAGGGCAGGACCTAGGCCCTTCCCCATGTGTCCAGGCTGAGAGAGCATCCCTCTGTTTGGATTGGGCTCCCAAAGTTCATTCATATGCCATGGTAAACACTGATATGCTACCCAAGGCCCCAGTGATTTCTGAGGCCTTCTCACTGACACTACATTCATGGAGTCTGGATCAGTCCCCTGTTGGCCTCTCAGCCATCAGTCTGGGGGTTCAAGAGCTCCCCATTATCCAGTCAGCTGTCTTTATGGGTTTCACCAGCACAGTCTTGACCCCTTTGCTCATCACCCTTCCATCTCTGTCACTGGGTTCCAGGAGTTCAGTTCTGTCTCTGCTTCCATCAGGCACTGGATGAAGGTTCTAGGATGGCACATAAGTAGTCATCAACCTTATCATCAAGGAGGGGCTATTAATGTAGTCTCTTCACTATTGCTTAGTTTGCCAGTTGGTGTTATCCTTGTAGATGTCAGGAGAACTCACTAGTGTCAGCTCTCTCCTCAAGCCTATAATGACTCAATCTATTATGCTATCTCATCCTGCTCTCCTCTATTCTTACCTCGACTCAACCTTCCTGCTCCCCCATGCTTTCTTCTCCCCTCCTCTTCTCCCCCTCTCTTTTTCCTGGTTGCCTCTCCCCTCCCCCGATGTTCCCAATCTGCTCAGGAGATCTGGGCTCATTCCACTTCCCTGGGGTATCATGCAACTCTCTTGGGAACCTCCCTGTTTCCCATACTCACTGGCACTGGGATTGTAGGCTGACACTCCACTGATCCATGTCTAAAATCCATATATGAGTGAGTACATACCATGTTTGCCTTTTTGTGACTGGGTTACCTCACTAAGGAGGTAACCACATACTTGGCAACATAGCAAACCTCAACAGGCACAAAAAAATTGGGATAACTCCATGTATCTTATCAGACCATCATGCCTTAAATTTAGAATTCAACAATAACACGAATCGCAGAAACCCTGCAAACTCATGGAAATTGAATAATACACAATTGCACCACTCCTGGGTCAAAGAACAAATCAAAAAAGACTTCCTAGAATTCAATAAGAATGAAGACACAACATAGCCAAACTTAAGGGAAACTCTGAAAGCAGTGCTAAGAGGAAAGTTCATAGCACTAAGTGCCCACATGAAGAAACTGGAGAATAGTCATACTAGAGAATTAATAGCACAGCTGAAAGCTCTAGAACAAAAGGAAGCAAACTTGTCCCAGAGGAGCAGACACCAAGAAATAATTAAATTGAGGGCTGAAATCAATAAAGTAGAAACTTGGAAAATGATACAAAGAATCAGTGTAACAAAGAGTTGGTTCTTTGAGAAAATTAACAAAATAGACAAACCTTTATCCAAATTTACCAAAAGGCATAGTATGAACATGCAAATTAACAAAATCAGAAATGAAAAGGGAGACATAACAACAGACACTGAGGAAATCAGGTCATATTTTGAAAAGCTGTACTCCACAAAATTTGAAAATTTAAAGGAAATGGATGATTTTCTGGATAAATATCACCAAAATTAAGTCAAGAACCGATAACCAATTTAAATAGTCCTATAACACCTAAGGAAATAGAAGCAGTCATCAAAAGTCTCCCAACCAAAAAAAGCCCAGGGCCAGATGGCTTCAGTGCAGAATTTTACCAGAAATTCAAAGAACAGCTTATACCAATTCTTCTCAAAGTATTCCATGCAATAGAAGCAGAAGGGTCTTTGTCAAACTTTTTTTTTACGAGGCTTCAATAACATTGATACCCAAGCCACACAAAGACACAACTAAGAAAGAGAACTTCAGACCAATATCCCTCATGAACATTGATGCAAAAGTACTCAGTAAAATCAGAGTGCATTCTTTCATGGGTGTTCTAATGCTTTTCTACAGAGGCCCTTGACTGAGTGGAGACCAGCCGAGGGGAAAGGTGTAATGCTTTGGACGTTTTGGGATCTACCACCAGCTCCAAATAAACCACACACAGAGGCTTATTCTTAGTTAGGAATGCTCCTCCTTGGCTTGACTTTCCCCTCCCCCCCCCCACTTTTCTAAATTATCCTGACTACCTTTTGCCTCTGATCTTTTTCCCTTTTTTTTTTTTGTAAATCTCACTGTTACTTTCTCTGTGGCCGGCTGTGTGGCTGTGTGGCTGTGTGGCTGTGTGGCTGGCCCCTAAAGTCCTCCTCCTTCCGCTCTCGTTCCCAGGTCCTTTCTTTTCTCCCAGATTTCTCCTCATATTTATCCTCTCTGCCTGCCAGTCCAGACTATTCCTCTCTCTTCCATACTATTGGCCGTTCATGACTTTATTAAGACAGGCACAGTAACAGCGTTCACAGAGTTAAACAAATGCAGCATAATCAAAAGTAACACACCTGAAAATAGTATTCTCCAATAGAAAGGCAAGGTAAAATTTGGGATTTGAATTATTAGGAAACTGGATGGACTAGGAAAGAGTATTTCCAGTTGATGTTAGCAGTGAATAATTCTGAAAAGATGAAATAGGTTCAAATGAGTCATAAACATGGGTAGGTTTCTGGGGTGGTGATAACACATTTTTTGATTTAGATGTAATAAACTATTTTAAGCTATTCTGTAGCTTAAGGAAGATGAATATTTTGTGTTGTATACAGACATGTTTGACTTGGAGTTACTGCATCAAGTATTTTATTATTGTTTTAATTTTAAATAGCTTGTTTTACATGTCAATCCCAGTTCCCTCTCCCTCCCCTCCTCCCGCACCCCCCATCCCCCTATCCTCCCACCCTATTGCCAATTCCTTCCATATAGGGGATATCTGGAGTCTATCATTTCACTCAGGGTAGGTTCCAGGCACTTCCCTAAGAGTCCAGGCTGAGAGAGCATCCCTCTTTGTGTTATGGACACACGATGTCTGTTAGTATTCGAGGGATAAATACTGATCCACTACTCAGGACCCCATTGCATCAAGTATTTTGTTGTAATATTTTGTTTCCATGCTAACTTATTTCCACCATTAGTTTAGAATAAGAATTAGTTTAGAATAGAATAAGAATGTATCAAACATTTTTCTTTTTTCTTTCCCAAAATGTGATTCATTGTTTAGTCTCTAGTGTTTAGTGACTGCTTTAAATAATTATTTATTTTTTGGAGAGGAAGGAAGAGCTTTATCTGGTTTGTGTGCTGTAGCAGAATACTGCAGACTAGGTTACTTATAAATTATATTTGTCTGTTTAGCTCATAGTTATGGAGGCAGAATGTCCAGTATTAAGTCTGGTGAGAGACTATGTACGTAGGATAGAAAAGGAGAAAACTCACTCTTTTTTTTTTGTTTTTCGATACAGGATTTCTCTGTATTGTTTTGGCTGTAGACCAGGCTGGCCTCGAACTCATAGAGATCTGCCTGCCTCTGTCTCCCTAGTGCTGGGATTAAAGGCGTGCACTACCAACGTCTGGCGGAAAACTCACTCTTTTGATAATGTATTATTCATTCATGAAAGCAAAACCCTTATGACCTAATCACTGTTTAGAGGTGTTCCTTCTCAATTCTGATGCTCTAACCCAGTGGTTCTCAACCTTTCTAATGCTGTGACCCTTTAATACCGTTCCTCATGTTGCAGTGACCCCCCAACCATAAAATAATTTTTGTTGCTGCTTCATAACCATAATTTTTCTACTATTATGATTTGCCATGCAAATATATGATATGTAAGGTATCTGATTTGCAGCCCCTGGGTTGAGAAACACTGCACTGGAGATTTAGCTTTGGGTGACGCATTCAATCTATAGTAGAGATACTATAGATCAATTAATTGCAGTGGGTTTTTTTTCTTTGATAATTGGTTTTTGGTTTTTCATGACAGGGTTTCCCTGTAGTCCTAGCTGTCCTGGAATTCACTCTAGATCAAGTTGGCCTTGAACTTGGAGATCCCTAGCCTCTGCCTCCCAAGTGCTGGGATTAAAGGTGTGTGCCACCACCACCAGGCATAGTTGTGGTGCTTTTAAAAGATACTCAAATGATTAAGAAAGTCAAAATGTTAGTTTTTGATTTAGATTGTAACATCTCCAAACTTAATATTTTTATTTTCTTTCCTACTTCTGTGCTTTAATACAGTGTGATCAGGGCAACAGCTGTCATCTTGTTTTAAGTTGGTTAAATACTGTCATTTTTAGTAATCTTATTAGAAAGTGTACATAAAGCATTTCATTGTCTGAGATGTTTCTTTTAATGATGTGTTTGTGTTCTGTTCCTTTCCCAGGTCATCCTGTTCAGTTCTACAGCATGAATAGGCCTGCCTCTCGCCATACCCCACCAACAATAGGGGGCTCATTGCCCTATAGAAGGCCTCCTTCCATAGCTTCACAGACAAGCCTTCAGAGTCAGATGAATGGAGGCCCTTTTTATAACCAGAATCCAGGTTAGACTTTCCTTTTGCCATTTCTTTCCATTTCTTTGTCATTACACCTTAAAAACAAAACCAAACCAAAAAAACCAAAACCCTTTTTTATACATGATTAACACATACATAGTAGGTGGTTATCCCAAATGTAATAGGTAGTTAAGATTATTGTTGAGGGACTGGAGAGAGAGATGGCTCAGCGGTTAAGAATACTGGCCGCTCTTCCAGAGGACCCAGGTTCAATTCCCAGCACCCACATAGTGCCTCACAATTGTCTGTAACTCCAACTCCAAGGTATTTGACACCTCACACAGACATACATGCAGAAAAACACCAGTGTACGTAAATACAAATACATAAGTAAAACAATTTCTGTTGTATGGGTAGAAGAATGATGAATGAATGAATACTAAGTTTTTTTATGTGAATATTTTTAATTTAATTTAAATTAAAAACAAGTTTGCTTCGCATGTCAGTCCTAGCTCCCTCTTCCTACCCTCCTCTCCCACCCCCCTCAACCCTACCCCAACCCCTTCCCCAATCCCCACTCCACTCTCAAGAACGGTGAAGCCCTTGTTGGGGGATCTTGAAACTCTGTCATATGATCTGGGGCAGGGCCTAGGCCCCTCCCCCATGTGTCCAGGTGGAGGCAGCATCCTTCCACGTGGAATGGACTCTCCAAGTCCATCTGGATGACAGGGTTAAATGCTGATTTATTGCCTGAGGCTCCAAAGGATGCTGAGGCCTCCTCATGGACACTCACGTTCAGGGGGCCTGGATCAGTCCCATGCTGGCCAGTCTGGGGTCTATAAGCTCCTCCTTGTTCAGGTCATCTGTTTCTGTGGGTTTCACCTGACAAGTCATAACCTCTTTGCTCATCACTCTTCCCTCTCTGCAACTGGGTTCCAGGGATTCAGTTAAGTGTTTAGTTGTGGGTGTTTGCCTCTGCTGCCTTCATTCAGTGGCTGGTAGCCTCTCCACTGTTGGTTAGATTGCCAGCTGGTGTCATCCTTGTAGGTCTCTGGACATCTCACTAGTACCAGATCTCTCTTCAAACCTATAATGGTTCCTTCTATTATGGTATTTCTCATCCTGCTCTCCTCTATTCTTCCCCCTAGTCAACTTTCCTGCTCCCCCATGTCCTTCTCTCTCCTCTTCACCCCCCTCTCTTTCTCCCTGCTTCCTCACCCCCCCCACCTCCCCATGCTCCCAAACCCCTCAGAAGTTAATAATACTGTTTCCACTTTTAAAAAGTCAACTATCTTGATTCAAAGCTAAGGAGTTCTCCTGCCCCCCCCCCCAGTGTAGTCATTTTCAATGTATGATCATTTGTTTAAATACTCAGCTAGACATGTAAATGCTTGTTTGTTATTTTAGCACTTCTGGGGGGGCAGAGGCAAGGAGAGTAGGCAGTGTAGGCTGCTTAATGGAATATATAGAAGAGCAGTATTTTCTTGTTGTTTAATAAGAAATTGTTGCTTTATGAATTACAAATAAAGTTGGATATATATGAAGGTATTTTGTTTTAGGCAGTCACATTGTCTTAACTCAGTTATCACATCAAAATACCCTGATGAGTATGAGGAAATTGGAGAAATTGATCCAGATACAACAATTGAAATAAAGAATTGAATCATATATATAGAAAAGCTAACTATGCACACTTAATGCTACACATAGTCAGCATTTTAATCATTTCCTAGAAAATGCAAGAAAATTTTAGGTGTCTTGACTACATGAATGTAATGTGTCAACTTACTGTTTTTTAATTTTTGCTAAGAGATAATTAAGCATGTGTGAGTTCCTCTGATTTTGGAGACAGATCATTTCATCTCTCATAAGCCTTGAAATTTATTTACTGTAGTTGCTATCTTTAGTTAATGAAACTTTAGTTATACTCTTTAGAATCTTGCAAAAAAATTGACTATCTTATTTTTATTATCTCATTTGATTCATATGTAGAAAATAAGATTGGTGATAATTAAATTATTTAAAAAATTTATTTGTCTTGCAAGTACATATGTTTGTGTACCATGTATGTGCCTAATGCCCATGAAAGTCAGAAGAGGGAATTGTATCCCCTGAAACTGGAGCTACAGATGGTTGTGAGCTGCCATGTGGGTGCTGGGAATTGAATCTGGGTCCTCAGGAAGAGCAATTGTGCACTTAACTGCTGAGCCATTTCTCTGGCCCCAAGAATGGTGGTATTTACATATGTACTTTGCATATGAAACCAAGGCCAAGGCGATGGTCCTGATAGACTTGAAGTTAATGCTTTTTGATTCTGTATTTCATGGTTTTTCTATTGTCCTGTCCTTTCTACTTTCAAATTAAAAGTTATTTTGCTCTTCACATGCCAGAGCCTTTGTTTCTGGTGGAGGAAGAGAAGCCTCTATTATAGTATAGGATACACAGTAATGGTGGAGTCCTTGTTAGTCTTTATGCAGTCCTGTCCTGAGAAATTTGTTCCAAAATATTACTGATATCAAATGAAAACCTGTTTCTTTATTCAAGTTCCTTTACTCTTCTGGGCACATCTTGTTTGCTTGTTTGTATGTTTATTTTAAAGAGGCTTTTACTAAATTGAGAGTGTAAATTTCAGAATATAATAGATGCTGCCAAATTCTGTAACTCCTTTTACAAAAATGTCACACAGGATGTGGTACGCCTCCCATTTATCGAATGCTGTATTTGTAGTTTAGCCAGTGCAAAATGCAGTGTGAATCTACCTAATTGCCTTGATTGAAATATATTTCTCTTTTCATGCTTAGTGTGTTCTTCCTAAAAATTCATTTCATCTTAAATTTTGTCAGAATACACCACATACTCTGATTTTAGTTGTGTTTTACAAACTTGAGTGTTTTGTAAGTAAATATTCTCCACCGCTTTAAAAAAATGTCTTATTTAGACTGGTTTTGAACTTGTGGTTTCATAGCATCCTCCTGCTCCAGCCTCCTGAGTGAGTGGGGTGGGGAGGAGAAAGTGTGTGTGTGTGTGTATCTGTGTGTGTGTGTGTGTGTGTGTGTCATGGATGGCCATTAAATGTACTTTTTCCCCCATCCTTAATTTTTTTTATTAGCTATAGCCTGTTTAATAGTTCTGTGAAAGATGGACTAGCTCTCTTGGGTATCTGGAAATTATGCTTACAGTCCCTTGTACCTTTCTTACCTTTTATAAAGGTTTGAAACAATGATATTAGATCCATAATGAAGTTGGGTAAGGTTTCACTGTTACAGCTGTGATACCAGTTATACAGGATACTTTGTAAGAATATAGAGGAATATTTCATGCTCAGAAGTCCTATGAGAACTCTATAGATATGACAGCTGTTTAAACATGTTCATGTTCTTAGTTTTTGCAGTACTAAAGATTGAGTCTAGTGCTTTGTATTTTTTAGGCAAGTGTTCTACCCTTGACTTGTATTTCTAATGTACTAAAGATTTCATACTTCAATAATAGTTATAAATCAGATTCATACATGCCACAATGTATTTTAAAGTAGAATTAACTCTTTAGGGAGTGATTTTAATATAAGTATTTTACACATTCAAGGAATAGTGAACTGGGATTGGGGCTGGGAGGCAGCTCAGCTGGCACTCAGTATTTTCTGTACTCCAAGTTCTGCCTTTTTTCTCTTGGAATTTGGTAACTTTAAAGAAGAGAATTGTAGCTCCATTCTATAATTAATTATAACTAATTATTTGTAATTAATTTAGCTATAGTTAGTTCTTTTGAAACCTACTTAAATAATAAAACAAAACTGTATTATGTTCTGGTAGGAGAGGTCGCTGGCATTTGAACCATGATCCTTGAGCATGCTAGGCAAGTGTTCTGTCATTTTCCTGCACCTCATTCCCATGCATAGTTTTTTTTTTTTTATTTGACAACTCTTTTGTAAGACGTTATACTTAGTGAATCGTTTTGTGGACAAAATGATGCTTATGTTTTATGAACCTGTATTTTGCAGTCAGAGCCTTGCCATGGATGTATACTTCTAAAGAATGAAGTTTGATGCCGGGCGGTGGTGGCGCACGCCTTTAATCCCAGCATTTGGGAGGCAGAGGCAGGCGGATCTCTGTGAGTTCGAGGCCAGGCTGGACCGACAGCCTCCAAAACAATACAGAGAAATCCTGTCTCATAAAAACCAAAAAAAAAAAACAAAAAACAAAAACAAATGAAGTTTGACAAGGCAGTGGGGTTCTGTGGGGTATAAATCTGACAGCATCCTTCCTAATGTATGTTTTTTTTTTATTCTAATACAGCGAGGTCTAAGAGGAATTAAAATATGGAATGATAGTGCCAAGTTCAAGGAAGACGGTAGTTGTACTCTAATGAATTTAGAAACAAGTTACTGAAGACAAATGTTGATTGAAGCATAACTGAAACACTTTTTTTTAATCTAAAATCTAAAAATCACAGAAATTGATTATTAAATTCATTTGCCAACAGTGAAGAGGGCTACAAAAACAGATACAACTACTCGTAAATAGTCTTCTTTAAGAACATGAAGCACCTTGGTATTAAAGAACACATAGATGTCTTCCTGTATATTTTTGCATTCTTATTTTTACATGCATAATAAACCTACTTTAGTGAGACATTAATCATACAATTTTCAAGTATGAAGCCTTTTGTAGCAGTTAATTTAGAGTAATGAGTGTTTCTTAAAAATAGAAGCTTTATAATCTTAAAGTATTTAACATTATTTTCCTCCCAGAATGTAAATAGAAATAGTAAAAAAGCAGTGTTGGATGGCTGATACTGCACTGTTCTCTAAGCCATTGGCTGTCAACTCTGCTAATGCTGCAGCTTCTTAATCCAGTTCCTCATGTTGTGGTGACCCCAACCATAAAATTACTTTAGTTGCTATTTACTATCTTTAATTTTGATAGTTATGAATTATAATGTAAATATCTGATATGCAGGATATCTGCTGTGCGAACCCTGTGAAAGGGCCATTTGATCCCCCAAAGGTATCTTGACCCACAGGTTGGGAACCACTGCTCTAACGGCAATGA